GCTCCGCGGTGTTTCTGGCGTCTGTGCTGCCTTCCAGACTCCATTCGGCCAAACGGTTCTTTGCCTGCTGCCGTCTTCTCAAACGTATTAAATCTCAGGGGGGCCTCCCTCCTCCACGTGCTGCCCACCTTGCTGAAACGGCTGCGGGAAGGAGCTCTAGCGACAAAACCAGACCTTGCGCCAGAGCTCGTCAGAGCGGCTGCGCTGGGACGGGGGACGCGGGAGGTCCCCGTCCACGCTTGTTCTCCAGGAAGCCCCATTGTAACTGCTGCGTTTCTGTTCTTTCTCCTTGCTCTGTTAAGGGTTGAGGTGTGTTGAGGTACTGAGGATTTTGTAATAAAATAAAAACGCCATGAGAGAAGCCTGTCTTTCTTTTACCAGGAAGTCCTGGAGGCGCGTGGCTGCCTTCAGAAGCAGCTAATGGGCGTACAGTCAGTAAAATAAATCACTACGTTATCAATAAAATAAATGGAAGAGGAAAAGAAGGGCCCAGAAGGTCCCGGTACCTTACACCAGCTTTCCTGACAGCTCCAAGCCCTAGTATAAGATTTCTCTTCACAGCCATAAATAAATGCTGCTGCGTGTTGGGCAGCGGTTTGTGCTTTTCCAAAGCGGGAGGCGATGGCACAGTGAGGACCTGGAAGCGGTGAGAGGTGGTTGATGTTGCCATTAGCCAGTGACTTCATTAAAGCGTTCTGTTGCTCTCATTCCATTCCAAAATAACGTTGAGAATTGACAAATAACTGAAAAATATGGACACAAGAAAAATCAGGGGCAAACCAATAAAAAATTTGGCTTCGGGTTTGCCTTGCCTCTGACGGTCCCAAAATCTCTCACGCACTCAGTCCCATTTTATGTCCCAGCCCAGCTCCGAAATTGCGAACGTCCGGGGATTTCTCCCACAGCAAAGGTGCCAGCACCCAAAGGTGTTGCCAGCCCTCACCCTCCCTTGGTGCTGTTTCCACAGCACCACCAAGACTGGGGCTCTGCGCTTGCCTCCTGCATTGGGTTTGCGTGGCAAGGTCCCCCTTTCTAATTTATTTGTTGCTCTGGGGGTCGTTGGAGCCGCCGCCACTTGCCCCGATGGCTGTGGCCCCAATGGGGGACGGCACGAAGGGACATGGTGGCTCTCGGTGCCAGAGTTCGGCTCATCCTACCGTGTAGGACCAGGGCTCGGCCCCGTGCCGGCCACAGCAATTAAACACGTGGTCATGCCCACACCAGTGCCCTCCTGGCTCTGTGCGGGTGAGAGGGGACAAGAGTGGGATGGGACAAGGCGAGGGACAATGCCGCCAGCCCCCTGCACCCAGTTTGGGGACCAGGTGGAGGCCCCGTGTGTTGGCCCTGGGGTGTCCCCACAGAGATGGTGGCAGGTGAGACACCGGGGGACAGGAAGGGGTTGGCGCTGCACTGGCTGAGGAGGACTGGGCAGACACCAGGGGTAAAGGAAAGCTGCTGATGGAGGTATGTTGTATTTTATTAAGAAACACAGTACCAAAAAAAAAAAAAAAAAAATTTTGGCATTTCCAAACATTCACCCTCAGCAGAAAAGGGGTCCCGAGCACTCTGTTCCTTGTCACAGCACTAACAGGGTCCACAAGGGACCTGCCGCTGTGAGGCGGCGATTTATTCTGCGATAAATACTCCGGCGCCGCGCCTGGCATGGGGAAAACAATCTGATAAAGGCGAGATTAAAAAAGTAATCTGATTTGGCACCAAGAACCGCCCCGCAGGCGATGGGTCGGGGTGGAAGGGGGCACAGGACCCGCACCACACTCAGCTTAACTCCAGGGGTTTGTTATTCCCCTCCGTGCTCATCTGGAGAGGATTTAGTTCACGTTTCCGTGACCTCCTCCGCTCATCCCCACTGCGTTTACAACGCCCTGCTTCCGAGTTAGGATAATGGGAACCGGTCAGAGCTGGTTACTGCAAACAAGCGGGAAAGAGATGTCTGATCAAACCCAAATTGGCTCAGTTAGCACTGAGCTAACTGCTCAGTTAGCAGTTAGCACCACGCCACCTCCTCCACCGAGGAGAAACAACGTGCGTCCCTTTTAAGACCGCAACTTCTGCATCGGCGTCCCCAGGAAGCGGGCCGGGATTCTCTCGCCCGCAGGAGCACGCAAGCGAGCGCGGATGCGATCCCAAGGGGAAGTTGGGCTGGATGCGTGGGTGGAGGGGAGCGCGGCTGCTCTGCCTCGATAAGAGCGCAGCCTTCAAGAGGGAAGGGTTTTTTTCACCTTTAACCTCTTCAAATCCCACCCTCGCTGGCGAAAGCGGTGCGAGGATGGGGAAGGCGTTGGTGAGAAAAGCTCCGATGCAGCAGAATCCGGCCTGGACTCCAGCAGGAAGTTTTTAACCCGCTCACAACAGCCCTCCGCTGCCACGGCTGACTATGCGCCGACCAGAAAACTGCTGGTCTTGGCTTAAAAAGCTCCAAATCCTTTCTGTGGAAAAGCAGAGGATGCTGCCGGGTTTAAATTCTTTCTAAATACTGGGCAGAGATCAAATTCTCCTCGTCTTTGTTCAGACCCCATACGCGAGTACCTCTAAAAGTAAAACTAACGTGTGATTTCCCCCCGCCGCCAAAGGCGAAGCGGTAAGAACACCGTCAGCTTTATTTGTTCCAACTCTATAAGCCAAATCCAGTTACCGTGAGCGCCACGGACTTGGGTTTGGGGTTTTTTTTTTTTTTCCTTTTCTGAAGGGGAAGTTTGTTTCCCAGCTGAAGGGACTTTTTGGGAAAACTGACCCTTTCCAGGGGGAGGATGGAAATAACCGAGAACCGCAGTGCTGTTGAAGGCACAACACAGCGTTTATATACACTACAGCTGCCGAGCTCTTCAAATTTACAAATAATAAGCACAAATTTCAGGTGAAACGTAAAAGCCAAAGTTGACAGCGTCCCTTTACATCCATAAACGCTTCCACATATTGGAAGAATCTGCCTGGATTTACTTTGATACTGTCTTGAACCCTACAACACAGATTTTTAGTTCAAATAGACCCAAATTGTCAACGTTCTGGGGAACAAAAGAAAATAACTTGACGCGTGCTCGAGGTCAGCGAGGAAACACCGAAGCAACCAATAACCAGGAACCAAGTCTCTCCAAACATTCATTCATAAAAAATAATTATTAAAGCCTTCTTGAAAACATCTCTTGGAAAAAAGATAAAAAAAGTCTTATTTATAAATATAGCTACACTGGTTATAAATAAATGCACTTCGATTCTCAAACCCAGCAAGTCTCACAAAGCCTTTACAGTAACAGTCACATAAACCTTCCTCTCCTACTGCTCATTGGTGAACCCAACTGGTGAAACCCTGGGAAACGTTGCCGAAGACAGGATTTCGGCAGATCCCACCTTCCTTTCAGGCCCAACCTCCGGGAACTGACTGGATTTTAGGATGAAAGGCAGTTTCTTCTTAGGGCAAGAAATTCCTTCAGAGCCGTGACAGTACGTTCGTATCTTTATGAACTCGTTAGTCCTTATTACGTCTCTGACGTCACGATACGGGCTGATCTATCGGCAAAGAAACGTTAACAAAGGCAGTACCTGAACCAACAGAAAACAGTATTATCTGACGCACTTGCAAATACCAGGGAAAAACGCAATGCAAGGACCATGACATTGAATTATTACCTTGAATCCTGCCAACGGTTACAAAACTGGGACAAAAAAACCCCCAATAAACCCCAAATCAATAAACTATGGGCCGCAAGAGCTATGATTTTTGTATTTTGTGAGAAGACATTCTGAGGTCGCAGGCCAGCTGCTAGGGCCTTGGAGCTGCAAGCCGCTCTTTGCCCTTAAAATCTTTTTGCGACCGACGGCACAGCTTGCATGATGGCATTTTTCTAAACTTCACTTGTTTATGGTATTTTTCTAAACTTCACTTGCTAATCTTTCATTTATCAAGCTGCACGCCATTATTCGGGGTGCTTCCCATCAGTTCCCTGCTGTCTCGAAACCCGTAATTCGCTGTACTAAACGGATCCCTGTGCTAAACAGGCCTGCAAAGAGTAAAAAAAATACAACTGTTTCAGTAACAAGATCAGCTGCTTGTTAAAAAAGGGTTTACTATCTTTAAAAACAAAAGCTGCTTAGTAAAAAAAAAAAAGTGACACGTATCTCCAGAGCCAACTCGACTCCCGAGCTATCTTGCAGCAACCGCCATACGTGTGGTTTTGCATATATAATCAGTTAACGCCACCATTCAGCGCCAAAGCGTCAAATAGAACATTTGACTAAATATCATAAAAATTGAGGAGTTTTTTTGTGATCCCTTTGGGTAGTTAAAGGGTCTGACGAAGAGCTCCCCCAAATTGTTCCTGAAACAAAGAGGGCGAAGCGTAGTATTCCCTGATAGCGTGAAATGCTCCGGCTGACATTCAGCCCAGCCTTTGCTCTTGCATTGAAGGTTGCCTCGATCAAAAGGATTTATAGTTTTGGAAGAAAAAGAACACGTAATTCGCTTTCCAGCTGAAAGGGGAAATCCCTTCCGCACCTCTGAAGATTTTAAAGCAACACCCCAAGAGCCTACTTTTTCTGAAGGTGCAGATCCAGTCACTCGACTTCGCAGAAGGGAGCGAACACCTCAGGTTATTGCAGAAATTCTGGTTTCAGTGCTGTAATTTCCAGGCAGCTGCGAGCTAATAGCTGCTTTGGCAATGAGGTATTTCTTTTCCACTCCCCAACAAGGCAGGTATTGACATCACCAAATAAGGTCACTCGCTGGCTAAAATTTTCTCAAAAAGCTTCCACTCTCTCAAGGTCAAGCTTTAAAAGCACCTTTTGGCACCGTGCTGAAAGCAGAGTTATGTTGCGAGCAGCTGGAGAAGCTCTGACCCCCGGCAATGGGGTGGCTTTGACAACAGCCCTCTGCTCTCAACACCGCTTGCCCACAGCACCTTATTCAACAACAGTAACAACAACAACAACAAAAAAAACCCCAAAAAAGTTATTTTCCTTTACAAAACTGAGTCAATCACCAAGGATTAGGAGGTTACAGTTTCCACAGCAATATCAGTTGGCTGATCCGTTTCCAGCATGGACAGCACCGATTCCTTGATGTCTTCTGAGGTTACCACAACCGGGTCAACCTCGGCAACCTCTTCGAGCACCGTCACCTCGGCTCCGTTGGGCTGCTGCCTCACCATGGCTGCCAGCTTCAGCCGGTACTCCTCCGCCTCTTGCTCTTTCTTTATGAGCTGGCTGCGATATTCCTGAGCCTTCCGGTTTGCCTCTTGCAACTGCTGCTGTAGCACTTCCCTTTCAACGCTGTCCTACAGAAAACAAAAGTTGAGAGAGCCCACCGTGGAGGCTCGTGCAACACGAAGGAAAACGGGGCGTGCAAGCGCTCCCAAGAGTTACGAGTTACAAAAGCCAAATGCTCTAAAGCGGAGCTAGAAACGTGCCTGGGTCGAGTTCTGTTCATCTGGCTCGCTCATCACAGGTTACCAGAGGCAACCGGGACATGGGAAGGCACAAAGTGGCTGGTAGCTGTCCCCGCAGCGTGCGGGGAGGTGGGCAGGGAAGTTACGCGTCATCTCAGCGTGATGAATTTCAAAGGTTGGAAGCAGGTGTAAACCAAGAAGCAAGAAAAATAAAGAGCTATTAGCACTGGAAGGTTGAGAGGCAATTGAGAACGTTCTTGCTCCCCAGCGGAGAGTGATGGGAGGGTCGTTCCTGCTGCTTTATGAAGAGCTGAGACTTGACTTACACCCAGCCCATGTGTTGTGCTTCTACAGGAAATCCTAAATAATCTCAGTAAACGACCATGATTCATCTAAAAACCCTGAGCGACAGCTTCAGCATAAGCAAAACGGCAACAAGCGATTCAGCTGGCTCTTTTCCTCCTACCTAGCCTTGACTGAGCATCGCATCCTCATTGCTAACGGGAGCACATGTGGGAAGAGCAGGGGAGCACCCAGCAAAGCTTGCCACAGAGATATCCCCGCGCTCAGCCGAGCAGGGCACAGCTCGTTTCTACTCTGAGATGGCATTTGACCTCCTCAGGACAGCAGAGGAACACGCAGGAGCCGACGGCAATCAAAATTAGAAGCAGGAGTATCTACCTTGTCTTCCTTTGAGTCATCTACATTTTGTTCCACTTTTTGCTTCTTGGCCAGTGGCTTTTCTTCCTCTTCGGCATCATCTCTGTCTTCAATAACAGTCTCTTCTGCAACCTGACCAGCAGGTACAGTTAAAACTGAAAAATTAAAAAAGGTGACAAATTATACAGTGCGAGACATGCTTTTGCACAGATGTTTCCCAAAAAACTTCTCTGAAGTCAGTGCATCAGTGTGGTTCTGGAGAAAAAGGAGACCTGTGAATCGGCAATGCCGAAGTCTTCCCGGAGAGGAGAGGAACTCTGGACCAGGTTTCCAGTTTTCTTTATTCAGGCCTCTGAAATACTCGAGTATTTCACCACAACGGGGCTGACAGAAGCCTAAGTCAAAGATTTGCATCTTAGAAAAAACATGAGGTAAAAACTATCATTCTGATGCCTCCGTAATGCAATTAACAGCCAAGACAGGCTAAGCCAAGAGGAATAGCAAGCCCTTCTCAAAAATTCCCCAGTACAGACAGCCCCCAGCTCTGAATCAGCTTTAAGCGCATGCAAGAGCTGCAAATATTCCAGAGAATAAACACATTTTAAATCTGCAAACATGGGTTTTCACTTTGGGAAGCCAGTAGCAAGAATTCGTCCAACCAGGGAGGAGTAATGCACCACGTGAGCTACTGAAGGTAGCTCTTCCTAAACACTTCGCCCCCTTGTCTTCCTTAGACTAAGTCTGGGTTACAAGCCAGGAATTATTTGTGGTAGTTTGGCAAATAATTCTGAATAATTAACAGCTTTAGAAAATTGCTTTTCACTTGTGAAGTCCGTAAACAGACAGAACTGGTGTAACCTATCTCACATTGTAACACCGTATGCGTGTTACAGGAGAGCTGCTCTACTTCCTAACCCTCTTTTTCTCCACCAGTGTTAATCCGAATAATTGCGTATCCCTAGGACATGCTAAAAGAATTGTCAGTAGTAGATGAGGCTGATGAATTACATCCCCTGAGGTAACAAAAACTCACTGTACGAGCGCTCTGGAGCTCTGCCCTGCTTTACTGAACACGATTTACATTTGGCCTTGTAAAATTGACAGATTATATTGCCCTAGGCAATATAACTGGCGTTACGGGAGGAAAAGGTGTATTTAAGCTGATATTAACGGCCTAATGTTAAGTTTTGTAAGAACGATGGAGTGATTGCTAAAGGTAACAGGTTGCAGTTTCATCGGCCGAGTGATTTACTCCCAGACCAGGAATTTCGCCACAAGATAAAGGAATCATCTTTGCCCGGCTGCCAGAGAGACAACAGCTACCTTGGCAATCCTCCTTGGCAACGTTCTACTGAAGGTGGTTGCTTTTAATGCAAAGACCAAAATATTAAAACGTAGCAGCGTGAATTAAGCTATGCACAAGTCGCTGGCAAGCTCCACTGCTGAGTCGCACAGACGTTTTAAACCCTCCTGCAGCCCAGCGGTCAGGCACGGATCTGTTCCACCACAGCACCGACGAGCCAGATCACACCAGCCGCCAGCCTTGCGGGGCTTGACGGGGTTCACGAACAGCAGCTATGTTTTTTTCTTTTTGAAGTTAACCCTCAGCGCTGCCTTTCGAGTTCAGCTCCTCCTTACCTTGCTGTCCGTCTTGCATGGTTAGGATGAAGGGCTGGTTGAGGCCGCTGGTGGGCATGGCTGTTTGCAGGCTGCCCAGGGGAACTCCGTCCGTTACAATGGCGATGACGCGCTGCCCTCCGCTGCCAACCACTTGTTGTATGGCAGAATCGACAGAATTTGATTCCACTATTTCCTCCGTCTTACCTTGAGGAATAAAATAAGTGCCAAAAAAACAAAAAAAAAGTGTCAGCATTTCCTTCGCTCTTCCTTGCATAGGAACTGAGGTCTAGCGAAAAAGCTCAAGTACGCAGCTTGAGACTCCTGGGACGCCTTCTTATGAAAAACAATCTGGAAATACAGCAAGTCTTGGTAGGGGAAAGAAAACAAAACCCACTAGCAAGACAAGTTTTCTAGAGTAAACCCTGCATTTTTTGTGTAATTTAATAAGTACTAGCACACAAACACATTAATTAAATTAAACAGCCTAGAGCTGGAGGCAGCTCTTCAGCAGACCTGGCTCTGCAAAGCTCCCTTCCGTGACCCTTCCCCCAGCTCTAACGAAGACAAACCACACGCAAAAAACCTCTTTGTGCCTCCAGATCCCCATCCACACCAGCACGGCCAAAGCAACCACGAGGAGCCTATTTAGTTTGGCCGGATGACGGCAAACCGGTTCAACTCCCTGCGACACTTTTTGTGTGACTTACGGCTCGCACAAATAACGAGGATTGCAAACCCTCGGCTGCACCCTGCTGCCAGTGTACGCTGCAAGCGCAGGAAACCGAGGGGATGTGACCCGCTACGCGCGCTCTGGGTGTCAAAGAGGAAAACGCTGGAGCACCGCAGGTCAAGGAATCAGCAGTGTGGCACCAGCAGCTTAAAGAAATCAAATCACACATCTCTAGATTCTAGGAAAAACACTTACCTTTGGGGAAAATAAATGAATTCCAAGGTGAAAGGATTATATAAACTTTATCAAATTTCTAAATCTGAAGTTAATTAAAGGTTAAAAATTACACTCTACAAACATATCATAAAAAACTCCCAAACACAAAAAATGCCCAAACCTTTCCATAAGAAAAAGTCACCAGAGCCTCAAGAGACTCAAAACATTTGTTGACTACCAATATTTTACAGCAAACTGGGGACAGAAAACATTTCAGACAAGTTCCTTCTTAAACAAGTATTTCTCTATGTTTACATATTACAGTAAACCCACATTCTGGAGTGTTGGGTTTTCGTTTTTTTTTTCTTTTTTATAGAACTGTTAAAGCACATCAAGAGCAACATACTGTGATGTCAGGGTCAGACCTGCTGGTTAATAAAAAATAAGTTACTTCTATTGGTAACAGTTGCTGTTTTTTTAATTAAGTTTGAACTGGGATTAAATAAATAACTAAATAGGCAAAATTAACCCACTGGTTCAGAAATATTTATCATCATCTCTTCCTTAACCTGAAAAAAGGCAAATTCAGTTCCACATCTTACTTCCTCCAATTTCCTCGCAAGATACTCACTAGAACTACACAAGTTTGAATCGGCGTCTGACCCGTTTCCCTTACCTGTGTCTCTGTTTGAATCAGAAAGTGGTGCCGATACTTCAGCGAGGGCCGCAAGCGTGGCAAGCACGGAGGTTGTGGAGTCGGAAAACTGCACCGCAGGGACATGCGAGTCACCTGGTTGGGAAAGATGAGGGCAAACTGAAGGACTGTCAGGACCTGCCATATCGAAACAGTGAATAGAGCGGTCAGAATGCAAGAATTTTGTCATCTAGAGATCAAGACATCAGGTATGAAGTATTTTCTGGGCTCCCGACGGTCAATGGAGAAATGGAGGCGGTACAGATGATTTTTCATGAGAGGTGACTCTACTAACTGTAAAAAGGGCTTTGATACTACTTTAGGACAGACTGTACCCACTCCGAGTAATTTAAGGTAATTTTAATTGAATGTAAAGCAAATATTTCATGAAGTTATTCCTGAATCACCTAACAAAAAGAACAGCAAATGCGAACCGGCTTGCTCCAGCTTTATTGAAAAACTACAGAAAGGCAGGCTGTCTGCCGGGCTACTCGGCGTGCCGAGCTTTGATCTGGAGACGTGGATGGCTTCCGAAGGCGCAGCCACGCTGCCTGATGACACTCACAGACGTGCTGGAGTCTGACTGCTGTAACACTGTGCAGAGCGGTTGCTACGCGCGTAATGACTTGGCTTTGCGTTGTACTGGAACTTCCAAAAATTGCAAAACCTAAAGAATATATTAAACTCGTCTGCTATTATGAGTAAATTACAGCACCCAAGTTCTTCCTTGGTTGGGAAAGTCTCCAAGCACAGTCCTCAGCGTTACTTCATAGGGCAAACGTTTTAGCACAAGTCAGCTAACAAAGCCTTTTGGCTCAAGTGCAGAAACTGGCTACGTATATCACTTGATTTCAATGTACTGGGCACACAGGTCCTTTCTTCCTCCCCTCTTGGGTTCGGTAATGGAAAGACCACGGTTACTGCAACGGGGTATTGATTTGAATGAGATAAACAAGTTGTCTGGGTTCCAAAAAAACCAGTGTTGCTTCCTCCAATTGAGCGCAGCAGTTCCTAGTCAAAGGCAGACTTAGTAAGAATGGAACAGGAAATTAACTAAATGGGTGCAAACTCGGTGCATATAACCCCCAATTCCTCTTAAAAAAAGAAAAAAAAAGAGATCCTGTACCTCATTGCCAGCGTAGACAAATAGATTATAAAGGGAAGTTCATCTAAAGTTCCCCTGCCTTAACCCTTGCAACCTATTTTCTCTTTTTCTCACCATCTCCTCATTTTACAAAGGTTATCAAGGGACTTATTTTCAAAGAACAATACTTTCAAAAGGCCGTGGGCTAGGCACGTGAAAACACCACGGGCCTAGTGACTGTTTTCAGCAGCTTGTAACCAGATTTCTTCAGACCAGCTAAAGATATTTATATA